GAGGAAGAAGGTGGCGTTGGCTTGGGATTGTGGGGTTTTGATCCAGTGAAGGCAGGGTCTAATGGAGCAGCTCTGAGAGCAGCCTTTGCGGAGAACTCGGCATCCATTACAGCTCATGCGCATGGTTGAGGGAGGAATGGAATCTATTTGGGAGGCGAGAAAATGAGAGAAAAGTGATGGAGGTGGGTGGGAACAAGTTGGGGAAGGCAACGATGGTGGGATTTGGTTTTGTAATGATGGCCGCAAGTGGTTTTCCAAGAAAACGGGTAGTTTTCTAGTTTTGAGCTTCTCTGGTTTTGCTAACCATTGGGAAACCAAACTTGTGTTGACCACTCTACTCAATCCTATTCCATTCTTTTTTACTTTTCATTATTTACCCAATTCTTGCAAATGAAAAATTCACTGCACATTCAAAATAAAATTAATATTTTATGGATGTGAAAGAATATTGGTAGAATGTGAGAAAGGAGTATGAGAAGTTAAGGAGAGAGAGGAAATTAAATTAGTATTTGGGAGAATTAAGAAAAAGAGGATTTTTTAGATTTTAATGGAAAATAAGGTAGTGGAAGATTGTGGGGCCGAGAGGAGGCGGAGGAAACCGGAGGGCGCCCACAGGAGAGGGATAGGGATAGGGATGGAAATTCACGTGATTCCAGAAACCCACGCGCTGGCCTTTCTAGGTTCCAATCAACTCGGACTTTTTATTGCGGATTCATTTTCAAACTCAGGCTCGTAAATACATTACATATTTATATATTTATATAATATAATATATGAAACTGGGTACTCCTAGCTAGGCGGCTGCCTATTTATATCTCACCTCATTTTTGTTATTCGTTTGTTTTATTAAGTTGAATTATGTTACTTGAGTGTTAATATTTATAATTTGTACAATAATTTAAACACTAAATAAAACTTTTAAACGAGCATTATCTGAGATGGAATATAGAGCTTGAAACTGAGTAGCATGTGTGGATTTAGATAGTTTTATTTTTTCATTCATATTTTTATGGAACTATTTAACTCTTATATAATATTGTATTTCGTTTTGAAATTTCTATTTTTAATTCATGTATTATGTCGTCCCAGTTTGTTTGTTTCTCTTTTTCTTTTGTTCAAACAATGCTGCACATTATAGAATTTAAACTCAATCAAACTATTCACAATAAATTGAAACCAAATTTCACACTATATATAGCAAAATGTTTTAATTAGAAAATGTTTTTAGTTGACTAACCTAAAACAAAATACATTCCGTAAATTATTTTTAAATGATTAAATTGAAAATAAAATGTCCTAAATTTATGTTGTTTTAAGATGACTAAATTCAAGATGGATACTATATACTTAGGTTTGTTACTCTGGTTAATTTGAAAATCAAATCGTTTATGTAATAGGTATAATTTAAAATTAAATATTATTTAATTTTATAGCTTCAGAATAAAATTACCGTTTGTTTTTTTTTCCAATTTGAAAACTATTTTGAAAATTAATTATTTTTTTGTATTTATAGTTGATATATATACATTGAATAAGTCTGAAATAAACTAATRTTTTTATTTTGGATAATTCTAAAATAAACTGATACTTTTATTTTAAAATTATTTATTAAAAATTAAAAATGCATTTTGAACTATTGTTTTKTAAATATAGATAAATGAAGATAATAAGACTTATTTAAAGAATAATATAATATTATTTTTTTAGTACAACAGTTTGGAGATATGAGGAATCGAACCTCCAACCTACATATCAATTATTGCTCAACTATGTCGTTGGTAAAWATATAATATTATTATTTGTCGTAGAAAGATGGTAATCCATGAGATTAAATATAGTAAATACTTAAGGGTGCAAAAAAACTAATAGGCATTTACAAAATTAACAACTAAATTTCAAATTTGCAAGATAGCAAAATTTTGAGGTCCAGTCCATGTATAATATATAAAAAGTGAAGTTTAACCTCAAATAACACTCAGCACAACACAATTATAATTGATAAATTTAGTATAAGGTAAATCAATTATAATCGATATACTAAGYACTACATCAAAGTAAATAAGTTATACCAATATATTGATATATCTGAAATTTTGAARGGTAAAATCAAAATAACTAAAAAACTGAAATTTGGATTTCAAATATTGTGTGCAAAACCCAAATATTTGCAAATATGACAAATATTAACTTTTCTTATTTAATTATTGATATGTATGTAGCTGTGCAAATGCTGATACATCACATAATAACTTTATGTTATGTTTTACTTCAATACGAAAGTTTTATTTTGACATTATAGATTGACACCTTTAAGATATTCTGTTGTAACTAATATACTTTGATGTAATTCATACTAACTATATAAACTGTAACTAATATACCTTAGGATGAAGTACATCAATATAAGGTATAGTACAGTGTATCAACTCTATTATATCAGTTGCAATCCATCAAAATACATCAGTTAATTAATCTATTCTATATATATAAAGTATAAGTTTACAAAATTTGAACAAGGATGTATGGTAAAAAGAAATTAGGGTTTGGATATTCATGAACTGGTATTAATAATGGACATTAAAATAAGAATACTTTAATTACAATTTAGAAAAAAGGAAAAAGAAAACGAGTTTCAAAATGTTTGGTTTGAGAATTGAGATAAATTGAATGCGGACTTSGAGATGTCGTTTTCCAAATCTGAACTATCTGAGTCAACTCAACCACTCGCGAGTCGACTCAATGACTCGTTCCCTATCGTCTAAACGGAACCTACCAAATAAACCAAAACCATGTGCATGGCTTTGGAATTCCCACAACTTCCCATCCATTAAGCCCATTTATTATATCCTAGTAATTCCCTATGATTTCAGTTACCATAACAATATTTAATTAAAAAATAGTAAAAAATAATTCAAGATCCTCCCATTTAAACATATTAAAAATTAAAAATAAAATTATATAGAGGGTATATTAATATCAAAAGTTGTCTAAACTCAAAGTAATTAGACAATGGAAAATGTTCCAAATCTGGGGGCTCATATTTTATTCTCAATTCCCATCTTTTAAACTATACATTAGAGAGGGAATGATTCTCGTTCTGAGAAAGCTCCACTTTACTTTTATAATATCTGATTTTGAAGAAAAGATAGGCATTTAATGGAAGGAAAAAATGCCACCAAGGCTCCACGACCTGTTACCCAATAAAATACAAAATCCATACATGCGTGGGCATATTATATAGTTTTAGATAAGATATATAATTGTACGGTCTCACTATTTGCCCACTTCCTCCCCTACCATTCTCATTAATCCTATTGCGAATTATGAAAATGAATCACCAAAATATTAATAATTTCACTAGCTTCCAAATGTCAAACCAGGGAAAGAAAAACAATGAAAAAGGCTTAATCTGCCTTTCTCTTCCTTTATTTTCTCAGATTAGATCATCCAAAACATAACATTAGTCACATTAATTACAGAGACATCTCTTTTTTGAGATTTGATGAACAATGACTACAACAAAAAACACAAGGACTCAGCAACAACAACCCATCATGCATTTGATTGACCCTCCTCCTATATACAACTTTTACACACTAAAGAAAAGAAAAAACATCAGTTTCAATTGCCCTGTCTCAATCTCCTCCACTTCAAAAACTTATCCTGCCCTCCCTCCTCCTTCACATTCTTCTTCTCTGGTTATCTAGTGTCTCTAAGCCACAGCTGAAATGCTGCAATTTCTAGCATCTCGACCAAGACAGTCGAATCCTTCGATTCGGACTGCTGCGGGTCGGTGCCCGAATTTCATTCGGGCGCATCCTCCTTTACGGGTCGATGGAGATGGCGGCCCTCCTTCACAAAGTTGGTAGGTATTGTTGCCATTGCCAAATTGCTCATCTTGGACTACAGGGTTGGAAGCCCTGCTTGGTGGAGACCCCCAAAAGAATGGGGGAGATGTTGCTAATTGGTGGCTAAAATTTTCACCATAACTTTCCTATAATGTTAAGATGAACCATAGTTAAGAGATTGTGGATAAATAAGTAATCAATCAAGATAAACGACCGAGAATTTGCAGGGTGAGGGATTATTAAGAACCTTAGTGAGGATCATGTCCAAAAGCTCCGCTCCTGCTTTTGAATTTCCAGTCTTTGGGTGGCTGTAAGGAAGCAGATTCATATGTATCAGAAGTTTATTCGAAGAGATTCAAGTTCAAATCTACATAATCAAAAGCAGAAGGTTTCTAATTCTGGCAAAAAGAAGATTAAACGGGGATTAACGAACTTGAGGGGCCATCTATGGGCTCTGATGGGGTCATTATCAGGAGTTTGCAGAACCAAACGACGTGGCTTCGGGCAGACCACAGATTCCGTCCTCATCTCTTGGCAGGCAGCCATGGCGTTCTGCTCGTAAACCCACCTGTTCATTCTCTCTGATACTACTCCTTACAAGTTAAAAATCTGCACGAAATACGCAGACAAACAAACAAACAAACAAACACCTTTCAGGCAACTTAGTTTTTTTCAGCCAAATAGAAGGAAATATCGGGAGAAGAAAAGCCTATTTCAGACTCCCTTAACGTGCAAAACAAGAGTCCCCTCCCTCTCCCCCCTCTCTCTGTCTCTCTAAACGAATTTGAGAAGGACGTGGATATGCACGATACAAAACTTAAAGAGGGTTCATCAACAACAACAACCAGATAAAGTTTGAGAGCTCAAAATTTGGAGGAAACTTAAAATCAATAGAAAATTAAACCCTATTCTCCATCGATTCTCCCCTCAAGTGAACTCAATTGTTCGATTAACATTCCTTCCACGTCCCGAGGCTATAACAATTAAGTTTTATCCTTCATCGTCAGGAAATCGAAAAGAAGCACAAAAATCAAAACGGAGCACAAATTCTTGCAGAATTACGACGCAGATTTGAGCACAAAAACCGCAACCCGAAACATCTCCGCAGGAAAATGTTCTAAAACAGTATTCTAATCCATTAACCCACGGAGAAAGAGAGAGAGCAGACCTGAACTGGCGCGCTCCTCGGCGGGAGCGAGGGCCTGAAGGAGGAAAATGGATATAGAGAGAGAAACAAGTGGTTTAGAGAGAGAAGGAGAGAAATGGAGAAAGAGGAGTTGCAGAGCTCTTGAGTTCACTATACATAGGACGGGGATGAAGATGATGGGTAGGTTGGGAATTTGGGAGGAGCTATTATAAGGTGTGCCAACGACCACCGGATCCCGTACTTTCAACTCTTGATGAGCCGTACGATTTCCCAGATTTCATCTCCAGCCGTCGATTCCCTGTCCCCGGGGCCCACTGCCGGAGATTTTTCGGCCACATGATTCCGGATGCCACGCGTTTCTTAATTATAATTTGTAGATCTGCAGAAAAAAAAAAAGAAAAAAAACACATGTTTTTTTTTTCCTTTTTTTTTTCCGAGAAATTCTAACGCTAAGTCGAATAAACTGATGCAGTGATTTCTTTTTTTTTTGATAATAACTGATGGAGTGACGTTGCCACATAATTTAATTGAAGATAGAATCTCCTTTTTAAATTTTATATTCTCGGTTCTCATTTTATTATAAATTTTAATTTTTTTATTATGCTATTACGTTAATAATATAATCGTTGAAAATATTGTATTTTATTAAAGTAATTAATATGTATTAAATGGTAGAAATGTATAATTGACGAGTTAAATTGATCAATTTGGTAAAGAGAAACCGAAATTAACTAAAGAAGAAAAAATAAAAGAATAACATAAGATATTTCCCCTTAGTAAAATATTAAAATTAAATTCAATGCTTAGAAACATGTATCATTGTGTCTCCCTTTTTCCTTTTTTCCTGTCTGTGTTTTTTTTTAACTATTTTATGGCTGCTTCAATTTCCTTTGTTTTAGGGGAAAAAGCCCCACAAGAAGAATTATAGATGAGAAATCTAAGGTTAAAAAAATCATTAATTCACCATGAAAGGTAATAACAAATAACTATGTAAAAGAATATCAAATATAGGATGAAGTGAAAAACCATACATATTTATTCATGCATTGTATGGTTTATTCGATAAACATGTAAATTTGATTTGAATACCATATTTTTAAAAATAGGTGAGAAAATCAAGATGCTACAGGATTTATATAATTAGGATTGATAGGTGAATTTGAATATTCTTTAATCTCTTCATTTGTAAGTCAAAGTTATTATATTAAGAGCTTCCAAGTGTCTATTTTTATTTAAAAATTAAATCCAAACCGTGGACATGGAAACAAAGGTGACCATTACTGTCTGGTGTTTGTTGCCTTATTTTTTCAATATTCCCCCAATAATCCGCCCCTTTTTAATTTGTCGCCATCTTCTTGGGATTGACTGTATTATTAAAAATAATATTATGCTTTAGGGGAAATTTGCAAATTGAGAGATACATGGGCTTTTGTGTTTTGTATTGGATGATGGTAATGGGCTTTCGAGATTGAAAGTCCAGTAACGTCTCCTGGCCCGCGAGGCCCATTACTTAAGAGTTAAAGAATTTATATAATAACAAAAAAAGAAAAAGAAAAAGGAAATTCTTTGAATGAATGTTGAAATATGATTAAAGCTTTTCACCAATATAATTAGTCTATTATTAACTCACTTCATTCATTATAAATTTTTTTAGGTTCTTAGTAGTTAAAAGTTTAGTTTATTTACCTGTTTTTTAAAATTATCTTTTAAGAACACTCTTGAGAAACTTGCTATTTTTTTAATTAAAAAAAATCATGTTTTCTAAAACTAGTTGAGAGAGAGTTGCGTGTGTGTGTTTCTTTTCTCAAAGTTATAATTTACAAAATACTATAATTGAATTATTTAAAAAAATTAATTTTATTGTGCAGACAACTTCATCTATAAATTTATAATTTCCGAAAGAAGACAATTTCGTTTAAACAAAAGAACAAAAAAAGTAATATTCACGAAATACATCAAAAGAACAATAAGAAAAACCACTTTTAAAAAGTAGTTTTCCAAATATATTTTCATTCAACTTTTGTTCATAAAGAAAGCATAAATTTACCTATGCTGCAAGCTTCTACCACTTTTTTTTTTTTACTTTATATATTTTATTTATTAATATTCAAAGAAATAATTTAAAAAAAATATATATTCAAATAAGTTATTAATTAACGAGTTCATTTTTGAGAAATAAAAAAGTACACGTATTGAGAGTTAGACATTTGTGTATATTGAGAAGACCACTAAAAGTTGAATCTCTCATTCCGATGAATCATGTAGCCGAGAGATACCATGAATCATAATAAAAGAACTTAACACACCCATTAAGCTGATGTAAAAGAATCGAATGAATAAATTATAAAACAGTCTGAGAGTCAAATGAGAGGAAGTAGTTTCGATACCAGATATGATATGATAACCCAAACAAATTAAATAAATAAATAAATAAAAACATAACATAGATTGAGTAGATATCAATCCCTTATTGAACTTGGCCACATTTTTTTATTCCCTTCCCTTTTCTAAAACCCTAAAGTAGAAAGAACAAATTATTAATCTCTATTCTAGCCATACATACCCCTTCTACTTTTATTCCAAAACTACATCCACTAAATTGATCTTCCCATTCTTCTCTTCTTTTGATTAGAAATAAACCCTAATTCAAAAGCTAAAGTTAAAAAGCAAAAAATAAACTAAAGCTATCCTTGTGATGTTTTCAATTTGTCCCCATCTTCTTTCTGAATCACTTGTTTTTGCTGCCTTTTTTTTTCTTGCTTTTTTTACCTCTTTCCATCTCCCCATGCTTCTCATWTATGATCATCCTGATCCAACCCACCAATCTCCCATCTCTCCTAAATACAAAATTTTTCCCCATGTGCTTTAATTTTCTTTTCCCGTTTGCAGGGCCTAAGTTTTTCCACTTTAATGGAGTATTTACAAAAAGGGTTTGTTCAGGGATATTCACTTTCCTCCATGGCTGACTCATCAAGCAACAAAATATCAACTTTTTTTGGTGGGGTCTTTTGATTTGGATCAGTGAGCTGGGAAGAAAAGAGGTGAGGAATCTCTATGAAGTTTCCCATCTAAAATTCTGATTTTGCTCATCTTCGCCTCGCACCAATGGAGTTGTTGTTCGCTTAAATCCGCCATTCTCAAAACCCTAGAAACCACTTTTAGGTCTATCAGAGCCATTAGAATCTCCATTTCTTCCTCCACTGTCAGCCTTCTTTTCCTCAGGCACTTTCCAGCACGACGAAGCTCTTTAAGCTTTATCCTCTTCTGCAAATTTTTTTAATATAACATCAACGTGAATAATCTAATCTTAGTCATCATGTGTTGAGCAAAAAAGGGTAGTTTTTTTTTTTTAAATTAAAAGTTTCTAGCAAAGATCTTGAGTTTAAACTTTTAACTTTTGTACTTAATACTATCTGTGCGAGAAGAATATTTATAACAGCCAACCACTGTTAAACGATTTTTAGATACAAAACTTGAAAGTTTAGAGACTCTTTAAGCATGATAATTGATCAACATATTTAGGGACTTGTTTGAAAATTTTTAAAAGTATACGGACTATATAGAGTCCGATCTATCATGAAKGTGAACAAATTTTTAAAAATTTAGGTACCTTTTGGTTAACTTTCTTCATGAGTTGGAGGAGAGTTGGATCTACACAACCTTTCTTTTTTCTCTTGAAGAATGAAGCTACGATATGACATGGGTTCTCTTTATCTGCCTTGAGGAAATTCATGTAGGTTCGTATTCCATCTTCCATTATCATTAGAAAAGATGGTGAGGATATTCTTGAACCATACCCACCTCCTTCCTCCTTTTGTTCATCTTCTGAATCTTCAAAAGCATAATATACAGATTACAGATCCACACCCATGGCTAAAGATGAGAGTCAATTATTAAGTTGATAACATGATAATACATTACTTTAATAATGAAAAACAAAAAGGGAAGAAGCTAAACATGCTTGCTTAGCCTAGTAGTCTTAAGTTTTTCTTTTTCTTTATTAAATGAAAAGAAAAAAAAAAACTTGGCTTTCATACTCAAAAAAGATGAATTCCTACTCACTTTTTCCATAGGATCTATTTATATATATTTAATAAAAATTATTCATAGTGCATACCTACTTACTTTTTTGAATATGGTATAAGCAAATCAAACTCAACGTGTTTTTGGATAAAAGCACTTTAGCTAATTACTTTTTTAATATAAGTATTATTGGCTCCCACACGGAATACAATTATGTATTTTAAAAAGAAAAATACTAATTCTTTGTTGACTGAGTAACATAAATTTTCTATTGTTCACCATAATTTTTTTAGAGAGATTTTTCTTACTTTTTGAGAAAGGAAAAAATCTCTCCCTTTTCTCTATTTCTCTCACATCTGTGTCGTAAAAGTTTTTGTTGTTGAAATTACTTTTTATCTAGAGGTAAATAAATATCATGACAAACCTACTTATTTTATCCCGAAAACCATACCAAATTAACTTACAAGACAACAACATTAGTCTTGGGCAAATTTAATCACAAAGACAATTACTCATTCTAAATACTCTCTTCAATCGAAGAGAAAATATCCAATACTATATATATTAAGTTGTCAATTTTTCAACAATSATGTGAATCAAAATATATTATTTCATGATGTCTGATCTGACTCACTACTCCATTTTATATATAAAAAAAAAGAGAGTGTTATTGAAGAAAAGAATATGGTACCTATATATTCAGGAACTTGGAGCAAATTAGGAGCCAAGAGTCTCATACGGGCATAAATCTCAGGGCGTCGCCCATGCTCATAAGGCTCATTCTCAACATAACGCTGAAGAAGAACTTGAAACTGCTGGAACTGCTGAGCCACTTTTCCTGGACATCCACTGTCCAATCCTCTAGTCTTAATCGAAGAACCCATTTTCTTGTTCACAAAATTGTTGTAGTTCCAATTTAGAGCCTCCCAAGTGAGGCAAATTTGTGCTACATACGCTGCCTCCAGTTCATGGTATGGGTTTTGCCTCCCATGATGATCTGAACCACCCTTCTTGTTTATGCTCCCCAATTTGTGAACTATCCTCTCTGATATTGATCTTGGGCACATTTGGATYGACCTTAGAGATTCTGTGTCAAATTTTTATGGTAAATATTAGTGCTAAGGATCTCACGTTAAAAATAAAATGGACCTTACAATCGTTTATAATATTAATTGATTTTGACATGGAATGCCTGAATATTAATATGATATCAAAAYCCAACAAGATCAAACGAACATCAAATCCAAAAATGAGATACGGCCAACATCGATGAGCCAAATGAGCYAGGATCTAAAAAAAKGGACCTTATAATGATTTTTATAATAGACATGAACTACTYCTCTCATTGAAAATTGGATTGTGTTAGTTAATTCACATCTGTATTGAAAATTGGATTGTGTTAGTTAATTGACATCTGTGYGAAAAAGTTGAGAGTTTTTATAAAAAGAAAGTAATTTGCACTAGTGGGTTTTGAGTACCTATTAAAGTAGGCCCATGTTGTGTGTATCATGCATCGACTTTGATTCACTGTTGTGATTTATGAATTTGTGTGTACTAAAAAGTTTGTATTGGAAATGAGTACTTGGGGAAAAGATTATTCAAAAGYATGTCTGTGTTAGAATAATAGTTAAATTATCCCTCAACTTTGAGAAAGCTTCTTGAATTTCAAAAGAAAAAGAAAAAAAAATATATTATACGTTGGATTAAAGATCCCACGTTAAAAGAGCTAACAAAGTTTATAATACAAATGAACTATTTTTTCATAATAAGTATTCAGTTCAAAAGTGAGTTGATACTTTCAACTTTAAAAATTTCTATTAAACCTTTTTAAATCTTTCAATTTTGTATTCACTSCACTATAAGGATTATACGATGGATTAAACTAAATAAGGGAGTGGGTAAAAAAAGGTAGATTAATAATGAGAAAGGTACCTGTTTCATGAAGCTTTTGGGCAGTGATTCTATCAAGAAACATCATTTCTTCRTCATACTTCTGGAAAACAGTGTAGGATTCCCACTTGGGGCAGCTCCTTCTTGAAGAAGAAGAAAATGGGTCTTCAGTTCCAGAATCTCTAATGGAGCTTCTCCACTCTGAAGAACTCTTGGAAGTTGAGCCAACAGTGCAAGAATCACCAAAAATCTCTTCTTCTTTTTCAACCATCTTAGTTGCTGCAAAAACCAAATACTTGTTATTACTATTCCCATTCTCATTCTCACAAATATTATTCTTCTTCTTCTCTTCTTCTTCCACCAWCAATCTCTTGCTCTTCTTCAGCTCCAATGATATTCTAGAATTGAGCTTCAGCTGCTTGATAATGTGCTGATCATCATCAGTGATTATTACTTGTTGATGTTGATCTTCATCATCATCGGATTTTGAAGTTCTTGGGGACTCGTAAACTGAGCTGTTATTGGTTGTGATTTGGCCATCTGGCTCTGAGGGCCCCATGGCCCAAGGCTCCTCCAAATCTGTGAATAATAATGATTCTTCATCTGGAAGCTGACTCTGCCACCGACTCATCCGAGTTTCAGCTTCTTCATTAAGAAACGACACCGTTTCCCCCTCATCATATCCTTCTTCTTCCTCCTCTTCTTCTTCTTCCTCGGATGACATGTTGTATTCATATTCATATTCGTTTCTGCAGTACTCAAAACAAAAATGGAAAAGAAAAGGTATGAATAATGGAAATAAATACCAAAAAAAAAGGTGGGAAGATAATTAATATTTACCTTGGGAATAAAGGGGTGCCAAGGAAGTTGAAGAATTTGAAAAGCAAAATGGAAGAGAAGGAGATGAAGAAGAAGACAAGGAAGAAGGAGGAGGAGAGATTGTAGAAAAGCCTAAGAAGAGCTTCTTGATCTTGTTTTGAGCAATAATAATAATGGTGTTGTTGCATTTTGTTGCTCATTATTGGCCTAATAAAATCATCTCCTAATCCTAAGTGCTCCTTCAAAAGGAAAACCCAAACCACCACCATCTCTCACACAAACAGACAGATTTAATTAAAGAGAAAAAAGAGAGACAGAGAAGAATTGAGAGAGAGAAAGGAAAAATGTGTTCTTTGGTTGCTTTTTATATATTGTGATGGTGTTAGGGGATGGCCCATGATCTCTTTTTCTGGTCCATTTCCTTGGTTGGAAATGTCATATCTGACCCTGGAAGGATGGGGTTGTAAGATGGGATGGGGAGGGGTAGAATTGTGAAGATTTTGTAAAGGTATATACTTTTGACAAAGAGGATGATAAATGTTGAAGGGGCTCAGAAAAAGATGCATCCCCATTTTGCCACTTTAGCCTGAACTTAAGCACTTGGACACTGAGAGATCATACTGCCATTTAATTTCCCTTCCTCTACAAACTAATGGGAATCACTTGTAATGGAATATATTGAATTTAAATCTCTCTCTCTCTCTCATCTCTCTATGTATATATATAATATATTCATTTAAACTGAGAGAGAGAGCAAAACCAAAGCACACGCATTAAGAGGACATGAAAGAAGGTCACTTTTTGAAAGAAATATGAAACTCTGAAGTGAGATTTATGAGAAAAAGAGAGAGAGATAGTTCTTTGCCTCTTGACGTAACAAAGGATTTATAGGGTAATCTACTTTTTGGGTTTGTAAAAAGAATATATAAGAGGGAGATTTTTCTTTTAGTTGATTAATAAAATCCTTTGTTTGAGGCAGCTGCTTGTCCTTAGCTTTGCCACTAAGGTTTCTCCTCACTATGTTTGTCTGCTCTATATTACTTTTGTATTTATATATATGTGTTAAGATATATAGAATCTATTGCTAAGTTTCACTTTCAAAACTCTGAGAGGATATATCAGAATTAATGATTATGATCATATGCTGATCATTAAAGTGAAATTTCAAATGCCCATAATCATTATTGAGCCATTTGACACGAACCCTAGGGGCCAAGCCTGAGGGGGCTGACCCCGCAGGCCGAGCTCATAAGACGAGTTCCTATGGACCCAAATCCTTGAACAGATTCTCCTCTCTCTCTTTATTCTTTTGAGAGTCACACCATGCTCTTTTAACWTTAATTCCTAAGATTTAAAAGAATTTGTTGGAGAAGATTATATCAAGAAAAGTTTGGTTTCTCCCTCGTAGAGAAAGTCTCCTAGGTACTATTATGTTGAACAAAATTGGCCTTTAATGTTAGTTCTTAACTAATATCAATGATGTCGGTTTCGCAACCGGATGTCATTGTAGTCAACGATATTAGTTATTGAACAATGTCGGTTCAAATCAACTGTCATTGTAAGCCTACAATATCGATTATATATTCAATGTCAATTTGAAATCGACATTAATCTACATGTCACGTCGTAGACTATAATGTCAGTTACTTTATGATGATGTCAGTTCTTAAAATTGATATTGTTTGTCCAAACAACGTCAGTTGTTAACTGACATTGAAATAACCGACATTATTCCTTCGTAATTGACATTGTTTACATTGAATATTAATGTAGATTTATAATGACGTTTAGCTATTGACATTGTTTTTACAAAAACCTACRACAAGAATATTAATGAAATATTGTATATACCCTATCAAAATATATACCCATAAACATGTATCAAATTATTAAAAAAAAAAGTGTAATAACCAGTACTTTCAGCAATTCACTRCACAAAATAGTCATTCAATATCAATACTTTTCTAAGCTCTAACATACAGTCTAACCAACACAACACCATTACAACCTAATACCAACGAGTTTCACACATATAACACCTCCAACATAATTTCAATCATCACAAATTYTGTCCCTTGAAGGATGGTACAGTGGCAARGGCATTGGGCCTTGTGGTATCACCTACCATGAGGTATTGAGTCCAAGTTTTGTGTTGGTCAACCACACAACATCGATTCATTCATCATAGGATCTTTTTTGCCCCAACATCGTATTCTAATATTTCACGAGAGATTATTAATTGGTATCAGCTTCTTTTTACTCATGTCGTTGATCCTTTACACATGTGTTTGTTGCTTACCTTCACAGCTCCCTTTCCGCCCATTTCCTTCTATCTAATATTTGTGATCCCGTCGTTGAAAGCTCACATGTTATTTGGATTTATCAAATGTGAAGCACTCTTTGAGATTTTATGATACATAGTTACATTAGGTGCGCTACAAAATTTGATTCTCACTATGCTTATTGCTTAATACGCAGACTCGATTCTAATTAAGTATCAGATTGTATTTGACTAGCACTATACTAAGGTATATCCTCTATGTTGAAAATTTTAGTATATTCTACTAAAGCCAAAAGGCAGGCACCAACAAAAATCCTAATTACCATATAAGAATATTGAGTTAACAAAAGTTGTTTTAAACGGTATAAGTTGATGATTAATGCATGAGGTAAAAAATTTCTGTTATTGGTGGTAAATTCTATTCATAGGATTTTATTATTATTATTATTTTGAGTACATAGGATTTTAATTGCTCGTTAAGGTACTCTAATTTTATCCACATTACGTATTCATTTTCAACATTTCCGGTGGAGATTAGATTGAAACTTAATTAAAAGCAAACCAAATAATTAAGCCCTCGTTTTAGTTACTTATCTGTACGTAGTTCTTCTTGTTTTATTTATTTTCTATTTTGAAAATCTTACCTAATTAAATTTTAAAAATAAGAAAATTATTTTTGAAAACTACTTCTTATTTATAATATTAAGACTATAAATAAAGGTATTCTTAGAAGCTACAATAGATTACATGATACAAAGAAACTAAAAGTAAAATAGTTAACGTTGTTAATTGGTCTTGAGATTTAGATTTCAAATTTTACTTTTTCCTATACTAAAAAAAAAAAAAACTTATAAACAAAAAATATGGTGAATAAAAAGGGACAGGAAGACATCGCAACTATTATTATACACTCAAATTATTATATAGAATTATTGTGAAATTGAAAAAATAAAACAAGGAAAGATGAGAGTAAGRACAATGAGAAATTATAAAACTGAATAAAACGTGAAAAGTGGATATTATTTTCTTGACTTTCTGTTTTCTTCCCAATCTGTTTTTTAATGAACCATCGAAAGCAACGTGAGATTATTTGGGACAGAAGAATATTATGGACAAGTAAAATTCTTGTTTTGTTATATATATTCGAAAATTTTTACTGGGAATATATTCTCATAGGCAAGGCTTTTGCCCTTCTAGTTTCATAGATTTGTCTATAAATTTTGTGTCAGAATCTTATCTCAGTAAATTATATTTTTTAGGTAATTAATTGCTTTATTTTGTTTGAATTAATTAGTTAAAATATTTAAATAAAATTTATAATTAATAAAATAACAATTAAATTTTACAAATGATGTACTAAATTAATTATTCTATTCTAGGGTAATAAATTAATTTATTAAACTATATACTTAATTTTTTAAAATCCCATATATATATATATATATATATATATATATCCAATCAAACACATTTATCTTTTTTTTTCCAAGTATGTTATTCCCAGACATCTTAATCACAAGTTACTAGACAGTTTTTAGACACTAAGCAATGAGCCTCTATAATATATTATAATAGTATTTATAACAACAACAATTTCTAAAAATTAATTTTTCTCTCTATAAAACACCATATAATTATTGTTAAGATTTGATAGGATTTTTTTTACAGGTAAACTAATAACCATCATGAGTTGATCCACATGAGGCCACTTACCTAATACTTAATATCTAAGTATGGTTAAATAGTTGTCCCATGAGATTAGTCGACGACCTAAATGAAGGTACATTAATTATTAATTATTATTAACTTTCTTTTAGTGAAAACGAACAATAGTTAGTGGCAATCGACACATATCTCCAATTAAGAAGTTGTAGGTTCAATCCTTCATTATATTTAAAAAAAAATTCTTTTTTTTAGTAAAAAACATATAGGGTGTACGAGAATAATTTAAAGGCTAATGATTGCATGCATAATTAACATTGAATGAAAAATTTATTTATCATACTCAAATACTAACGAGAGAGAGAGAGCACGTGGATGAGTTTCTAGAAAGCGTAAGAGAGTTTGATTACGTAATACATTGAAAGTTGTAGTTAGGATTGAAATTTCACACAAAAACCACAAAGATTTGATGAGAACAAAAACACCATTAATTTATCTCTATATAATATTCTTATATTTACTTTATAGTTTATACACAGTCGTTTAGTTTGGTGACCCTTTTAACCACTCTTCTCAATATAACCCTTATATATTTTACTATTTAACTTCATCAAATCACTTTTATAGAATCTTCCAAACCATATGCTAAAACTAATATTCTAATTTCATATTAAATACAATCCTTGCACATGCTTTAATATGCACTCATATTAATTATTGCATGGAGCTTTTTTTCCTCATTTTTCTTTGATCGAGTTCATATTGCATGGACTTAATAAACAAAGGTATGACCAACTATAATTATAAAGTGCACCACATCAAATTTTAACCCAATTGATTATTATAGATGTATGCTCCTCTAAAAAATCTTTTAAATTTTAAGAAAAAGAACTTGTGATACTCAAAGTTCACAAACAAAACAAAGTGAAAGGTGTTGAGGGCTAAGATTTAAGATCATATAATAGTTAAGAAAAAATCGAATAAATTGATAAATACGACTCATATATACCATATATTTTTTTTTTCATTTTAGAAGCTATTTTAATAGTTAATTGTACTTTATTAGCATACAATGTCGGTGGGATAATTAATATATATTGAAAAATTATCAAGTAGAAATAAGAAAATGAATAATTATTTGGATTAATAGAGTTAATGAGATGTGTTCCCATTAGCATATGTGAGGTTTGGATTTTTAGGGCGTTGGGTGGGTAAGAATGGGTGAAGGTGGTTGGATCATATATATCATATAACTTAACAAAATAAAGAAATAAATTATATATCTCTAAAAACAATCCTAAGTATTAATTAATTTCTGTTTTCCTCTATTAATTTGCCACCATATATAAAATAATCTAATTTTCCCACTCTTATACCACAAATATGAAATACAAGAGAGATACCCATTATTAATTTTTTCCTTTTCTTCATGGAAATCAATGGCATTTTGGTAAATTGATTTCCTCTAGAATACCCCTGGATCATATTTTTCCATGCACATATCGGTCAAAGTGTTAGCTGTAATAAACAAGATAAAAATAGAAGAGAGAGTCTAGGTACGGCTGCTTCTCAGCTTCTTCTTCAAGGCTGATTCCATAATTTTCATATTCCCACCATATTTATTCACACCCCATTTCTGAAAATCAAGTTTCAAAGCCTTTTATGTTCTTGTTCAAAACAAAATTTGATATCTTGAAGAAGCTGGTAATTAATTTTATTATTCTGATATAGAGAGGGTTTCGAATGGAGGAAAGCCTCCCTCCTGGCTTCAGATTCCACCCAACTGATGAAGAACTCATTTCATATTATCTCACTCAAAAGCTCTCTGATTCTGCCTTCACTTCCAAAGCCATTGCTGTTGTTGATCTCAACAAGAACGAGCCTTGGGATCTCCCTGGTAAGTAAATTCTCCACGCTCGTAGAATAAGTGATTTTAAAAAAAAGAGAGAAAGAAAAATGATTTTGATAATGATAAAAGTGATTTTAATCGTGACAAAATTACTCTCCGTGTATTTGACATGGCCAAAATCACTATCCTTTTCATGATTATGTTTGAGATAAAAAATTAATTTAAAAAGGTATAAAATCACTTTAAATTGATTTTAGAAAATCAATTATACTTGAATCTCTCTTTGAAAATCTATCATTATTCCCCAACACACCCGTGTAGATTATTTGGCTCCATCCTCTTCTGAGTTGTAGTTTAATTTGTATGGTTGCAGCTAAAGCTTCGATGGGAGAGAAAGAATGGTACTTTTTCAGCCTGAGGGATCGAAAGTACCCAACTGGGCTTAGGACAAATCGAGCGACAGAAGCTGGTTATTGGAAGACAACAGGAAAAGACAAGGAAATCTTCCGCGGTCCTGTTTTGGTCGGAATGAAGAAAACCCTCGTTTTTTACAAAGGAAGAGCTCCACGAGGTGAGAAAACCAACTGGGTTATGCATGAATATCGCAGAGAAAACAAGCATCTTTTCAAACCCTCCTCCAAGGTACCATACAAAACCCCGATCCATCCCCCGAACTTTTAAGATCGTATCTAATAAATACTTAGTCCGTAGTTAGTATAATTTTTTAGAATCGTGTCTAAAATTTAATTTCACATTTAAACTATACTTTGGTCGTGCCTATTTCATGTTTACCATCATTGGGTAGGAGAGAAATGCACGAATGAGAAATAATTTTTCTTTGGTGGCATGGAAATAGATGTTGACTAGTCAGCACTCAAGTATTTCTATAAATTTTCATTTGTGTAAAATAGGTTTCTATGCTTCCTTAGTTTAATATACTTTGCATTACCAAAAACCTGAACTTGTTTGTAATAAGGATTTTTTTACATCAAATAGACATTTAAACATTTTTATAATCCTATTGAAAATATTTATGTATCCAAACTCCAAACTTGTAGATTTAACCCCATAATGCAATGGAAATTAATTAGGGTCGACCTTGGATTTGGAGAAAGAAAATAAAATTTAGAGTTGAAATCTTGAGAATTTCAATTATGGGTGTGTTTTGTTTTATTTTTTGTCAGGAAGAATGGGCAGTTTGCAGGGTGTTTCAGAAGCAGAATACACCAAAGAAGCCACATCAAACAGCATCCTCTCAGCCTTCTCTCTCTTCTCCCTGTGATACAAACTCAATTGTGAATGAATTTGGTGACAATAATATTGAATTATCAAACTTTAATAACATACCCATTAATAATAATTCACAATCTGCTAATAATTTCAGCAATAATATTATGAACATGAACATGAATAATTGGGGTGCACCATCATCAAATGAAACACTTTGTCCTTCACTTTCATGGCCAGCTTCAAGTCTTCTAACTTCAAATCTTTCCATGAATTCTCTGCTTCTCAAGGCATTGCAACTTAGAAGCTTTCAACAACAAAGGGATGTTTTTGCTTCTTCTTCTTCTTCTTATAACAATAATATTCCTCAGGCCAATGTTTTTAATTCTCAATTTGGAACTGACCATTTGAGCTTCCAAGTTTCTTCTTCTTCTTCAAAAGTTTTTGAGTCTTCACCACAGCAACAGCAGCAGGAGCAACCATTGAACTTGGACTCCCTTTGGTGAAAAGGCCAACAACTTTTTTCTCTCAATGTGTATGTGAGATGTAACTAATTTAACCCTTTTCTTTAAACTTTGTAATTTGTCAGTTCAATAAGGGAAAAGTCTTGGGGATATGTAATTGTAACTCTGTTTACAATTTGAATTAATGTGAAGTTTTAGGGATTAGTTCAGTCATATTTTTAGTTGAAATTATATGTTGTATGTTTATGATCATAATGTTGAAGCAGAGCTCATTTCAATCTTCAAGGGTTGGGGAAAAACCCCAAGTCCTTTTTGTTCAACCCATTATTGTTATTTTTTCTGTTTAATGTTCCCATAAGTTATTTAAATTCTACTTTGATTTTCGTACTTTTGTCTTGGTTTTTGTTCTTTCAAATATTTTGTTTTAGTGCATAAACTTTGCACGTGTTAGTTAATGAAATTCCTAACATAATGTACTTTACCAGTCGTTTTAGGCTTTTTGTCATATTATGGTGCTTAAAGTAAAATTAATCTAATAGACAATATCACGTCAACCTTTTGTTAAAGATATTAATTACATAAACTAAATAGAAATATCATTCAAAACTAGAGATAAATATATCCTTTAAAAGTTTAAAGCCTAAATAAACAATATCCATCATTGAGAGGCTAAATTTATATTTAACCTATTATCTTCTAGATTAGATATATTGAACCGAGTATCAAGTTTGATAACGAGTGATCAAAGTCATTATGCAATCTAAAAATTTAATAGTAAGTCAAAAGGATCAATTAAACATTTGGAATACAACCAATATAAATTATTAAGATGGTAATTAGGTACATGACTGTATTAAAAATTGAAGTTGAAAATAATGATATTGGAATTGTATACTGTTGAATAGGTATTATACAATATAACCAACAATGAAATGTAAAGAGTTGAACAGAACAGTTGCTATGAAATGTTAACCTAGTAGTTATTGATGAATTATGTTCATGTGACTGTTTTAATTTATAAGTACAAGTTTTTAGTATAATAGATATAAAATGTGGAAAGTTGAATAAAGTAGTTATTACTGAACTATGTTCATGTGACCGTAACTTATACATATTACATGAAAGTTCTTTTGTGGTTTATTTTCTCTGGGGAGAAACGTATTTTTCAAAGTAGCCTTTTATCACACATTGTGTTTGATCCTACAGAGTTGACTTGTTAAAATCCACTGAATTTGAAGTTTCTTACCTTAGAAATCAATATGAGATTCAAAAGTAAAACCTAATTGCTTGACTTCTGACTTTCATATTACATTAACTCAACTCACACGTGTGAAACTGGCCCATAAGGTCATACAATGTTTCCATCTATCTTTGCAAAATTATATATCACGTGCCATTATATTTCAGTTTCTACTTTCTTTAGGTAGAATTCTAAAAACAACTACTACTTCCTCATTTAAGTTAAATCAAATGCCGACATCATATACCTACAATTTAGGATCATTTTAATCAAACTAGCAAACTAGCATCTGCAATTTTTAAGTGGACTGCGGAGATTCAAACTCATAAGTCATAATCTCTTAGTAAAAAAAATGTGTCAATTACCACTTAACTAAGTTCATGTTGGCAAACTAACCATTACTGCAGTTAGAAATTAAAAAAAAAAAGTACTTTCAATGTAAAAAACTATACTTCTCACTTATTTTTTATATTCTATGAATCTAGGACTTTGTAAAGAAGTAGAGAGTACATTATATGAGCTTCAAAAGAGGGAAGTTATCCAAATCGAATTTACATGAAAAATAATAAAAAGGAAGAATGGAAGACTGGGATTTGTTACAAGAATAAGAATAATGTCTCCACAGCAACCCAGAGGTACCCATGACTCACTCCAGAAAAATAGATCATACCCATATGAGCTTGAACTTGAAGCAAGTGACCGAGTGCTTCTTGTACGTTACCCATCAGGTAAATTTTTGCGCACAGCTTTCAACGATAAACGGCAACGGAGATTTTCAGGTCGACTTAGGCAGACATCGGTGCAGGTTGTTCGCATTCCGCATGTTCGACCTGGTAGGGAAACCGAAGTGAGAAGGTTAAACCATGGATGAGATTAAGTTCAACTCTTTAACATGGATGATCTCCTATTTAAGTAATACTCTCTCGTTTACTTGGGAGAACCCATTACAAGAATCATATATCCCCATTCCCCAGAGCAATTAATGTAACATCATCTTGGGCAGTGAGACAACATGCTTTAAAGGAAAACAAGTACCTGAAATATGCAATGGCAATAAGAACACTCCATCTGTTCACAAATTGGAAATGCTCTCCCAGCCTAGTTTGATGGATCATCAGTGCTTTCTGAGTCGGCAAAATCAGATTCTTCATCCTCTTCCCACTCACTAACTTCGTCATTGTCACCATCTGAAAATGCGTACAAAGATGCTTCCTCGTCCTAAAGATCATTACATGTATTTTGACTTTACACTTCTACTTCAGTTTTATATAGGCCAACGCAGCAAAAGATTAACAGAGGAAATAGCAGTGAGAAACTCACTTGGAAAGATTCTGAGACAGGTTCATCCTGAGACGACCAGTTACTCTCATCCTCTGAATCTTCAGTGACACCCTACAATCGGCAATTAACATAAATAACAATCATGTCAAACAAAAAATCAGGTGACAAGTGACAGTATCCTCCTTTTAGGGTGGGCGAACACTTCCGAAAATCCCACATATACAGAGAATTCACTGTTGAAATAGTTACATGATCACACGATAAATGCAACTCTGGAAGGAAGAAAATGTTCTGCAAAACTGAGAAGTTTTTACTTACAATTTCTTTCTTCATTTGCTCTATGTTCTTCTCGAGTTCAGATATATGCTGACTGAGAGCCTACACACGGTTTTGGATAAATGATACAAGGTAGACATCAGGGTCAAGAAGAGTGGATCATTAACAACAAACATGTAAAAAAGTTATGGTCCAAAATGAAACCTCGTGACGCTGTAGGGCAACTGAACGCTTTAAAGCTTTTGCCTTTGTGAGCAAGTTTCTTGGCCTCAAGGCGATGGGTCGACGATAATTCTTTCCACGATAGTAAATAAGTGCATATCCTTTTGGAACTCTATCTATTGAAACTAGTATTCCACCACTCTCATACTCTAACAACCTTGCCGTTTCTTCCACAAAAGCAAGTGTCTTTTGCTTGCTAATTAACTTCACGAGTTCCCTATGCTTCCAATGTAAATGCATGTTTTCAACAACACCATCAAATACACCACGAATGCCTGGGAAATCATGATTATTTTACCATAAGAATAATATAAATTTTAAATAGATAATCAATCTATATTTTCAAATTAATTTTGCTCACCCATAGGTAAATATGCATTCATTCGTAACCCAACCTTCCGAAACATGACCCGTTCCTCATCTGTTATTGTTTCTTGGTCATCATCAGGGGCAGAAAGAACCATGGACGCTTCGATTTTCGATAGTAATTTTTCTGCTCTAAGTTTCTTTGCTTGGGCCTAACCATCAAGTTATTAAAAGATCAAAGTTGATTCTTCTATGAGAAGAACGTCACACAAAATAATATCAGCCATTCAATATTCTCGGACAAAAGAAAATTGATAATACTTACAACGCCTAGCTTATGTTCAATTCGTCTGACAAGTCTTGCAGTTTTTGCTTTGGAGCTTTCTTCGATCATTTTTTCACGCTCTTCGGCAGATATTTCCCTTCCCCACCTGGACTGAGCCTCGTAGAATTCGGCCAAAGTACCTGCAGGTGCCTGTCCATCATTGCTTGATGAAGTAGCCTCAACCACTTTACTTCGAACTTGCTCTTCCACATCTTGAATCTGTTTTGTTAATTCCTGCCTTTCTGCCAAAGCTGCAGCTACACTTGTTGGGAGAAAATCCTTTCCACGGTATATGACGATGAAATATTTATTTCTCAATAGTAACACACCTCCTGTTAAGTTCTGCAGAATAGATAATCTTTATAGTGAAAATGATATTAATACATGCAACAAATAACTTGACTGGTTTAAACTATGTAATGTCAGTAAGTAAAACATTCAATACTTATAGAGAAAATAAACATTCAATAATTATAGAGAAAATCATAAAACAAGCTGCTCAAATAAGTTTATCGACACTTATTTCTAGGACTCCAGGCACATTATCTTGAGAGTATAATCATCATCCTCTCTACTAGAATATCTACTTGGAAAGTAATTGGAAGAGAGGGACTGGAGACATTTGAACTTTTAGGAAAGAGATAACCTATGGAAGGCAAATAAGTTGGAAATTTTAATAATAAGTATCCTTCAAGGAAAAAGTAGATTTGCATCTCACAATACTTGCAGATCATTAGAGATTTAACATAGCTTTCTAGTTCTGTTCCACAACCTACGAAAGATGTCTATCACATATTGGAAGGATAGGCAATAGTCTCCACCAGAGAATCAGAGGTCAAAAGATCCTCCAGTATTGAGATAAAATAACATGGTATTTTGGTTTTGAACTTCTGCTTAAGCAAGAAAATGTATTCATTGAACAAATAAATAAAAAGGAAGAAACATGAAACACACCCTTATCTCCTCAGCCATGAGTTTATTATTGGTATTCTGGATACCTCTTTTGACAGCAATTTTAACGACTAGGCTTTTTTCCCAAAGTTTAAGTATAGCAACTGCCAAGCCCTGATGGTTCCTGTTTCTCCCTGCGTGTAAGGAATTAGAGGGGAAAAAATCATCAAATAATAATTTCATTGAAGGATCATACAACAAATTCAAAGAGCAAGAAAAAAGTACCGAGGGCAAAATGACAAGGCAAGGATTTTGCAACTTTCCTCAACTGAGTCATCTCTGCATTAGTTAGTCGAGACCGCATTCCAGTTGGAAGAAGCCTGAAAGGAGTTTTATAACCCGGAATACTTGGACGAAGCTGATCGGCATCCACAGGAAGAACTCCTGTGCCCCACCATTCAACAAAACGAGGACCTAAACCATCTAGTAATTGGTTGTATTCAGCCTCTTCCTCTGACATGCCCCCCTCATAAGACTTTGGAGCCCCAATAGGCAACTTAGTCTTCTCAGGTGCTGAAGCTGAAACATTGCCACTCATTGTGGAAACGGCAGCAGAAGAAACATCTGGGATGAATACGGCATCCCCCTCCTTTGCAATGGGTTTAGTTTTAGAAGGACCTTCATAGTTACTACCACGGTAAACTACCATAACACTTCCTGCTCTCCATAAAACCAATCCTCCGGTTCGTCGCTGGTCATCACACCATGTAATTAGTTACATGCTCCAGCCATTGCATACATAAAAATGAAAAACCAAGAAGAAGATAACAAGTTTCTGAAAGTCACCATCTTAATCTATTTTTAGACATCAGTTCAAGAAAACAAGTTTCTGAAAGTCGGTGAATTAAGTATACACAGTCCTGCATCAAGAACGAATCCCAAACTTCCAATTGAAGTATATTTTTAAGTTTAGTAAAACTTCATTCAAGTATTTAATTTCAACAGTAGACTAGAAAAAAGAAAAGGAAAGAGTTGAATCCCTTTCATAAACCACTGTCCCACAAGGAGAAAAATTGATAGTTTTCCATCTTTTTCAGGGTGACAAAGCGATTTTCATCCATAAAGAACATTATTCAAATGTTGCTCTAGAATTAAAATGGGAACAGCCAATTAGTAACAAACCTCTACAATCTCGTGTGCTGTCTTCATATCATGCGCAAGCTCCTCATGAAATTTAAGCCTTACCAACTCCTCCTTCCTCCATTTCCCATGAATCTTCTCTAGCACAGCCTGCGTAATCCCGGCTTTGGGTATGTTAATCCGCTCTCTGAGAAACATCCCCATTCTCCTCAGCCGCCTCAGCTCCTCGTCTTCAATTGTCAATTCAGCTAATGTGGGAGCCTTCATCTTTCTCCTTTTCGACCCTGTTCCACTCTCCTCCTCTTCAGCCCTCTCCCCCTCTCTCTCCCATGGCA